GAAGTCTCCGAATGCTCTTCAAGGGCTGCCCCATGTAGAGCGCATTGCAGTAGTCAGTCTTGAGGTCACGAGGGCATGAGTGATAGGAACGATGAGAAGACTAATAGTAATAGTAATGCAGCCTGCTCTGTATACTACAATTTGAGAAAAGGAAAGAGACCTTAAACCATGGTTAGATAGTGGATTCTGCACACTCCTTCACCCTTTTGTTCTATGTTATTAATAGTTTCCTTCTATCTGCTTTTCCCCACTTCTCCCAGCAGTGTTTTGCAAGTTACACCAATGCAAGCGTCAAAGACCAGGGACCACTGGCAGGTAGAACTTCATGACAACATCTCTGAAGGCCAGGAGAAAACTGGGGGCTCTGGGTTAATTACAGCTTCAGACCAGACCTTTTTAAAGCCAAACAATGATCAAGTCATAACTGTTGGTCCAAGGGACCAAGAGATGACTACAGTGCTCATTGGAGACTTGTCAAAAACCTTGGAAGAGTACCAGAAGGTGGAGAAGAAGCTCTCCCATTTGGCAAAAGAGGACACTCCCGCACAGAAGCAACTTAGGGACCAGTTAGTCAAAATCCGGCAGGAACTTTTCCATATCCACCAGGCGTTAGAGAAGGCCAACAAGTTCAATGAAGGTCCTTTGGACCTCTCGGTGAAAAGGTCTTCAAAGAATCCAGAGAAAGGACACCGAGACAAGAAAGAGTCCAAGGCTGGGATCCAGGGAGAGAAAGCCCAAGGCAAAGACAATACATGTTTGGAGGTGGGCGAAGCCGATCTAGAAAAGGTCTCCGGTGGTTTCCTTGAGACGCAGAATAAAACCATTGACCTGCTCATCAAGATGAGCCACTCCAAGAACGTCCAAAATTCCTCTTCTGAGACCCACCTGGGAGCCGTAATCAAAGCCGAAGTGCTTCCCCTCAACGTCCCACTAGAATTTAGGCACGTCATGGAACCTTACTACAGCCATACTACCAAATGCGAAGCAGATTCCAGTGTCCTGCTCTGCACCGATGGAAGATCAAATGGTAACCAAGCCCCACCACTTTCTGTTACTGAAGAAACTCCAATAGGATGCCGGGCAATTCCATGTTCTTTGTCCTGCAATTTGACCAGCGAGACCGGTGAGGTATAGAATCCAAAACTTCACACTTGCCCTTTGAGCCCAAAGAAAGAAGTCAGTCAAATTGGGAAACCCTTTGGTCCATCACTATAGTATTTGGAACATTGAGGATCCAGGTGGGTTTTGTAAAGCATTTCTCGTCCACGTTTTATGAATGACATGGAACTCAGCAAGGTCTGTTTCTCCATTAGTAGAATTTCTCATGGCATCCTCATTCTGCAGACATGGACAAGGTGAACAGGGTGGGAAGAGAGAGTAAGAGAGAGGTGACATTGTTGTTTTTTTCAGGAGGACAGGTGCCTTTGCATTTTAGAAGATCCAACCCAACTCTTCCCTGGCCGGTTCAGCAAGATGCATTCCTCAACAACTTTTTAAGACTCCATAATCCCTTGTAGGGTGGAGTCCGGTCAACTGAAGGGAGCTAGCAGAGTATTTTAAATGGCCAGATGCCCTTCCTGTCACCCATGCAGAGTTTTGTTTAGCAGATATATTCTGCCAAGAGAGATTAAATATTTGCCTCTGCCTAGGATCGAACTCACAGCCTCCTGGTTGTGAGGCAAGAGCTCCAACTATAGGCCACCGCACCAGCCTTTGAACAAGAAGCATTGTCTGATGCCAAATCTCCTTGGGATCAATCAATTTCTGGATAGCGTTCCTTTTCCCAAGAATCCAGAGTCAACGGTAGTCTCTCTGACCCAAATAAAAAGAGCTGCAAGATAAATTGTGGATTGACTACAATCCCAGTTGCCTTTTTGGCAGAAAACAATTAAAGAGCATGCGTGAGAAATCACTTTTTTTTCCAGAACCCACTATGGTTGTCCAGGTTCTTCTAAAGGGATCCCATTCCTAGCCCCTGCTTGAGTTTAAATTCTTCTTTTGATTTAAATTCTTCCTCTGGAATTCACCATATAACTTATCTCAGTGCCGAACAATGATGGGGAACCATTTTTAATTTTGCCTGAAGCTTTGTTGGGGTAGAAGAGTTCTGAGCAAATACGAAGACTTTTCTCCTTCCTTGACAAGCTTTTTTACATGAGAGGTCATCTTCTGGACATTGCAGATTGATTTAATCATCCTTGCCTCCAGGCACAATCGTTCTGGCCTTTTCACGATGGAGATAGACCTTTCCAAGCAAAACCTCTGCCCTCAAATTACAGTAGGCTTCTCAAAGATTGAGGGGACAATTAAACGGGACCTCATCACACTTTTCATCTTCTTTAGGAAAAGATGATTACAGAAAAGGAAGCAAAGGATTCTCAGAGACTATTGGAGAACTAGTTGACCTACTAGCTTTCTAGCTAAACCAGAGGTCAGCAACCTGCGGCTCTGGAGCTGCATGTGGCTCTTTCATCCCTCTGCTGCAGCTCCCTGTCACTGGTCGGTGACACAATTTTGAGAGAAGCTTCCGGTTTGGGGTGGTGGTGGTGAAACACCACGTGCCAGGAGGAGAGAGCAGGGCAGGTTTTCCGGTCAGCTCCACAATTGATAGTGCTTTCAGTTAGGACAGGTAGAGGAAAAAGGATGCAGCGCTAGGAGGAGACTCTATGGTGGGGGGACTGGACTTCCGGTCGGCAGAGGAAAAAGGACGCCGTGCTAGGAGGAGACTCTATGGTGGGGGAACTGGACTTCCAGTCGGCAGAGGAAAAAGGATGCCGTGCTAGGAGGAGACTCTATGGTGGGGAAATTGGACTTCCGGTCAGCTCCAGAATTGAATGGGGGGCTTCTGTTTAGGACCTTGTGGCTCTTTGAGTGTTTAAGGCTGCTGACTCCTGAGCTAGACAATGGCAAGACAGTTTCCTGAATCCAGGGGTTTCCTGCGTTCTTTGATATTGCAAAATATCAAACATTGCAAAAATATTTACTCCCTAGAAGCATCAATGTCCAGCCATCTTGGTCAGTAGCACTGGCGGATCACCCCGGGGACCCAAAACTAACATTCATCAGCACAGAGCTCAACGCTGTTGCTGAGGATGCAGTAACACACTTCTGAAGTTGAGTGCAAACGCACACAAAAATTAGGGACAAAATAAAAGCATTTGCCACTGCAGTATCCTTTTGCTTTCATAATGGTTCCTCGTCATCAGACCGAATTGTGTGACGCCACAACGATATACCCATCGCTCCTTGCTCTCTAACCATCTCTCAAATGTAACCCTTCAGTCAAAGCTGGGACAAATTTCCACTGCACTTCTTGTGTGTGTCAACCACTGACAATCACTGGGGGGGGGTGGGGAGAACATGTGTCCTAAAGTTATTTATTTATAATGTGGGATGGTGTTTGGAGGAAAGAGGGAAAGGGTGGGAGAGAGCGTGTTATTTATTGTCCACCGTTGGAAATATGTACAAAAATATAGACAATTCAATTAAAAACAATTGGAACGTAATGTTCATGAGGTTTGCTCATTTTGAATGGGAGATTTTCCTGTGAAGTACCCACTTTATAATGCCTGGGTAATATCACACTTGGAATATTCCAGTTTTGGTCACCACAATATAAAAAAGATGTTGAGACTCTAGAAAGAGTGCAGAGAAGAGCAATAAAGATGATTAGGGGACTGGAGGTTAAAAATAAAGAAGAGTTGCAGGAATTGTGTATGTCCAGTTTAATGAAAAGAAGGAGTGAGGATGACATGATAACAGTGTTCCAATATTTGAGGGGCTGCCACAGAGAAGAAGGGGTCAAATTATTCTCCAAATCACCTGAAGGCAGGACAAGAAGCAACAGATGGAAACTAAT